TAGAATAATTATATTTTTAAACCAAGATTTAGAATAATTATCATTTTGATCCATATGGTAATGTGTGACTGGGCCTCGTGTCACTTTATGTTGAACAAATTGGGCCCTGAGGTCAAAAAGGTAAAGAACCCCTGCTCTAGGTCACATAAAAAAACGATATTCATGCAAAATAATTTAATCCAAATTAGGATTTGTCAGAAGCCCCAACTAGGGCTGGTTGAGCACATTTTAAAAGGAAATAAAAAGCTACCTTCTTCATACACTTTAAAACATACACAATAAAAATATTAAAGCCACTTATAATTTGACACCATTCATCACTCACTCGCTCCTTGTGTCTCTGCACCCTGTACTGTTTAAGTTGCTCCTCCAGACGTCGGCGAGCCTCCAGGCGAATCTTCTCTTCGTTTTCCATCTCCATCGACGGCTTCTGATTGGCTGTAAGCAGAGATTTTTGGCCACACTGAATAATGGTTCCCATCAAAGCGTTCAGACAAGAATTTATTTAATACCTGCAAAATCTAGACTCTGAGGCAAATGCTGCTGTGTTGGTTCAGTGTAACGTTTGTCATTCTTTAAGGTGTGATGAACAAAACGGCTAAAACTGTTCTCTAAATAAACCATACATTCAAGGAAGTATGTAAATCTCTTTGGAATAGACCTGAGTTGGTTAATTATCTGTGGTGTGACGTATGAAAACAAACTGAAAAAAAAAAAACCAGGCTGCATCATGAATAAAAAGATTACATTTCATAACACGCAACAGCAACTGTGTCTAGTTTTCAAACGTCACCAAACATGAACATAACACAGGGRTTAGTACTGAAACAGTCACCAGTCCATGCAAAGTTTCAATTAAGCACTCACACAAAACAATTAATCAAACTGTCCAAGGGAGATTTAGAAAGGAGGTAGACTCGTACGACTAAAACAAGTTTCCACTGAGTCCTTCTGTCCAGATAATACGCAGACAAAACAAGTTAGAAAAAGATATGTAAATGAGCAAAAAACAACATTCCACAGCAAAAAATGGTTAAAATACGAAGGGGTACAGAGGGGGCATTCACTTCACAGAAGTTTATGCTTACACAATTCAGTCTCCTGCATAGGCATACTGAGTCTGAGTGACTGCAAAGCATCGCTCTTGTGAACCGTGACCTCAGCACTAGCCTTCTCAGACTTCTCTACCACCGTGGGTGGATAAGCAGCCACACCTGGGGACGACTCTTGGCTCTGCGAGTCGATGGGGGAGCTGGTGCTCTGGGGAGGGACTGTCGGAGTCAGGGGCCCATTTATAAGGGTGTCCCCCGCGTTACTGAATCCATCTGCTAGTCCGTTCCCATTTGGCATCACGTCTGAAGTGAGAGGGCCTGAAAGAGAACAAGAGACAAAGTTTCCAGTCAAACTACACACACAAGAGTTTAGGCCTGAGTTGAGCCCCAACTTATCTGAAACACTGAACAGGGTTCCCACACCTTGGTCAACATCAAATTCAAGGACCTTTCAAGGACTTTCCAGTACCAATTTCCTCAAATTCAAGACGGCACGACGGCAATTATTTACTGCTACCACAGAATGCTACCAATAAACAGGTTTAATATCATGTAAATTCAATGAAAAACTGGGAATCAATGAAAGAAAGTGGATTACCTGTACACCCTACATTCATACAGTWTCTACAATACATGGACATGTAATTATGTACTGGGAGGTTGGGCAGCTYAGTTTGGGAGGAGGGGATGTGAACATGTCYTGACCCTTGGTGAGGACAGGAGCAGCTGTGATGCTGGGCTCAGAAAGAAGGACCCGCCCTACTCTGCTCTGATTGGGTGAAACTATGACTATGGCTCAAGTTATTGGTTGAAAGCCACGTCAGTTTACCGTAATCCTGAGTTATCCACTGTAACAAATGTATGTTTTTTATTTATTTATTTATTTTTATTTTTATTTTTTACAGATAATTAAAATCAATTGTGTGAATAGAGAACTTCAATCTCCAAAAAATATTCAAGGACTTTCAAGGACAAGTGTAATTTTTGGCTGTTTTCACAAACTTTCCAGGGCCTTGAAATTATTTTTTCAAATTCACAAACTTTCAAGGATTTCAAGGACCCGTGGAAACCCTAGACTGATATCAGTTGGAGGCATCATGCAGTTTCTCTTCACTGACATTTGAATTGAAGCAGCTCATTTCTATTTCGCTCCACTGTTTTTTTTCCATAGGATTATTTGTAATTTGTTACATTAAACCCTGAAAGGTTTTCTGCTTCACTCACTCTTCACATTGTTTCTTCACCAAATTTTGTCATGTTTTTGTTATTTTATGTTTTATCACCCATCCCATTTTCCCATGACTTATACTCACTAGGGAATCAGAATCACCTTTTATTATCACATTTTCATTATAATTTACATTACAATGAAATTGGATTTTCTGCTCCACGGCACTTTGTTTTGTAGACGAGATAAAGTAAAATTAAAAAAATAGACAATAAAATAAAATGGACAAGTTAAATATAATAAGACAAAATGTACACTATACAAAAAATAAAATAAAAGAATTTCTACATTTAAAAATGAAGAATAAGAAAATTTGTACAAAATTTACTTCTTAGTTATTTGTAAATATTGCACTTGAGATATATTTCACTAGGGCTACACTGATTGTGGTTTTCTGGCAGATCGCCAGTCTTTAAAAAGTCAGACCTGCTGATTCCATTTTGGCCGATACCAATTTTTTTAAATAACTGACAGTCAGTTGAAATGAAGTCACAATCCACCCTCAATGTTCCAATCTTATTTTATTTAAAAAACATAAAACAATACCCTTGAAACAATATAAACTTGCTTTAACTGGACATGAGGCAGTGCTCACAGCAGAGCAAAAGAGGACAGTGGTTGATTTTCAGACCTTTATGGAGGTAGAGGAGAAGCCGATCTTTTCCACTGATCTTATCCAAGTATCAGCMGATCTCCCAAAATTAAGAAATCTGTGCTGATAAATCGGCAGGTCCATTTATCAGTGCACCACTAGGTCAACAACCACAACAACCCAGTTCATTTAAATGATAAAGCAAGCTAGACGATTTAGCTGGTGTGTCCGAAAAGCTTTTTGAGGCTCATAAACTTAGTTAGCATATAGCTGAAATCTAATGATGGTTATATAATAGCAGCTGCATTCTGGCACGATAAGCTCTATGTTTTATATTCAATTAACGTATGATCTGATTAGTCGACTAATCGAAAAAATAATCTGTGATTAATTGATTATAAAAATAATCGTTTGTGGCAGCCCTAGTGATGGGTCACAAATACATAACAACACACAAACATGTGTGACTGCTGAACAGTTGTGTAATATGTGCAAATTGATGAAGTGAAAAAACCTGAAATGATTTAGTCTGAATGAAGAACTGGTGAATGTTTAGCGGGTTTCTGCAGACAGTGATGCCCTGCTGCTGTGTGTGTTCATGCTGTGTGTGTGTTCATGCTGCTGTGTGTGTTCATGCTGCTGTGTGTGTTCATGCTGTGTGTGTGTGTTCATGCTGTGTGTGTGT